GTCATAATATTACGAGATTAAAGTCGTAATATTACGAGTTTAAAGTCAATATTACGAGAATAAAGTCATAATATTACGAGATTAAAGTCGTAATATTACGAGTTTAAAGTCAATATTACGAGAATAAAGTCATAATATTACGAGATTAAAGTCGTAATATTACGAGTTTAAAGTCAATATTACGAGAATAAAGTCATAATATTACGAGATTAAAGTCGTAATATTACGAGTTTAAAGTCAATATTACGAGAATAAAGTCATAATATTACGAGATTAAAGTCGTAATATTACGAGTTTAAAGTCAATATTACGAGAATAAAGTCATAATATTACGAGATTAAAGTCGTAATATTACGAGTTTAAAGTCAATATTACAAGAATAAAATCATAATATTACGACATTAATGCCGTATAAAAATAGTCATAATATTACGAGATTAAAGTCGTAATATTACGACTTTAATCTCGTGATATTATGACTTCATTCTCATAAAATTACAACTTTAATCTCGTAATAATAATTTAAAAAAGGATCTTGTTGTGTGGCCCTAATACTCTGTCGTACCATCAGGTCATGGAAGTGTGTTGACAATTTTGCGGAAAAACAGATGAAAACTCACAGAAGCTTAGAAAAGATCAGCTTATAAATGTGTTTTTATGACCTTATCTTGATGCTTGTTTTCTCAAGATAATAAGTTGAATAAGTATCTCAAGGTAAAGTCATGAATAAAACTTTATTAGCATGTACTTTCTTAGTTTCTGTGCATTTTTGTTGAAAAAGATAAAAAGGCCAACCTGAAACCAAACAAGTTCCTTTATGATGAGTTGATAAAATAACTTATTTAGAGAAAATAGTGTTTTTATCTGATGGCAACAGGATGTTTATCTCATCTTCTCAGCATAACAATGTTTATTATCTTCAGACAAGGTGAATAAGTTTGTGTCTTGAGAAAAGTGGAAAATCCATTTTTTAGCACGTCCTATCAGCTTCTGCACTTTTTCATGTCAACATCAATATTTGAAAAAAATCATTTGAAAAACCAGGTTTTATCTCGAGATGAGTTATTTATGTTTACTTTGAGATGAAGCCTTTGGTTTCTCAGGATAATAAGTAGTTTTGTAATATTATTATATGCATATCAAGCTGTTTATCTCATTATTTTAATATAAAGTCCGATTTATCTTATGTTTGTCATGAATATAAATTTCCCAGCATGTCCTCTTTCAGCTTTCATACCTTTCCAAGGTGAAATAATTTAATATTTGACCTTGAGAAAACAAGTTCAGTTGTCTTAAAATAATGAAACTATTGGTAGCTTAATTATAAAGACTCAAGGTAACAATTGTGAGCTTTTATTTGCCTCATTACAGTGAACTTGTAGTTTTGAGGAAATCCTATCAGCAAAATACAAAATAAAATAAAGTGGTAAAAAGTAAATAAAAATAAGTCTTTTATGTTTCTTGTAATTAGATAAATATAAAACATAATGAATGAATAATAAAAGTATTTAGTGTTGAATGTTGCAGGTTATGTCTGTAATAAAAGTTCATGAGAGCATCACTTCCTCTGCTAACCCGTGTCTCTCTTGGCCCAGGCCGGGTCCTGCTGGGTCAGGTGGTGGATCACATCGACTCGGTTCTGGAGGAATGGTTTCCCGGCCTGCTCAACACGGACATGCACGGTAACGGTGAAGCTCTGCTGAAGAGGTGGGCTCTGTACAGCTATGAGGACAGGCAGGAGAGGAGCAAGATCCTGCTGGAGGACCTTTTAAAAAGAATCGATAACGGTGTGTGCTTTAAACCCCGCTAAAACGACCAACATCCGTAGCGCTGCCACCGCTTTGCCTACAGTTCTTGTGATTTTTTGTAAATGATCCTAACCTCAGTTTTGATTTGGCTACTTCTTCCTAATATGTCTTATCTTTTGTCTGTCTTAGATTTTTTGCTGGTAAACCCAGAAGACCCCCGCTGCACGACACCCATCTCTCAAATCGCTCCAGACTTGGTTCTGAGTGACCAGCCTGCAGGAACTAGACTAGACCAGGAGGAGCTGGAAGTAGACCTGTCCAAAGAGAACAGACTAGGTCCAGCTTTTTAATGCATACATTAGGATGAGCCACTGTGTTTTTTTTGGTTACTCCTCTAATATAATGTTTATTTAATCTTAACCTTTAATCGTTTTAAATGTATAAATGTATTTTTTTTTTTTTTGCAGGAGTTGGCGGTTTTGGAACAGTTTATCGAGGAGTTTATAAAAACGAAGAAGTAGCTGTGAAGATATTCAACACACACGCATCTGAGATTTACATGTACAGGCTCCTCAGACAGGTTGACTCAAGTTTCCTTTTTTTTTTTTTATAACCGTTGTTAAGTTTTGATACGAAACTGTTGAGCATCTGAACAGACCGTATCCCACCTGTCTTCTTTTCCTTTTTAAAAGTTCTGTAACTCAGCCGGTGTGTTTTCAGGAGTTGGCGGTGCTGGGTCGCCTCCGTCACCCCAGTCTGGTGGGTCTGCTGGCAGCCGGCTCGGCCCCACAGGTCCTGGTGATGGAGCTGGCTCTCAGAGGTTCCCTGGATTCCCTCTTTCAACACAAGAGCGTTAGCCTCAACCAAAAGCTCCAGCACAGGATCGCCCTGCATGTGGCTGATGGACTCAGGTACGTTTGTGTGGGATATTAGAGGTGCGTTTCCTCTGGTAAATTATTAAGAAAAGTCTTCTATGGGTAAAATAATAAAAGTACAGTGAAAACAAACCTGCTGAAGATTAGGTACAGAAACCTTCTCAGATGTTTACCTTAGTTTAACATTCTTTTCAAGTCACACACACACACACACACACACACACACACACACACACACACACACACAC